CCCCATCCCTGGGGGTGTTGAAGGGCAGGTTGGATGGGGCTTGGAGCAGCCTGGGCTGCTGGGAGGTGTCCCTGCCCATGAAGGGGTGGGACTGGATGAGCTCTAAGGTCCCTTCCAGCTCAAACCAGCCTGGGATTTTATGGCTCTTCCAAGGTCCTCAGTGGTGTCTGCAGAGTGGAAACACACTTTGAGGTTTCTGTGTTCCAGCTCCAGAGGATGAGACAGCAAAACCTCCAAGCACGTTGAGACGGGAGCAGGGAAGGGTTCACCCTGTCCCTGCTGCACTCCTGGAAGCACGAGAGGACACCTGCTGCAGGAGGCAGGTGCTGCTGTGCCCACCCGTGTGCCAGTGCCACCAGTGTCCTGGGGACACCCGAGCTGCAGCTGCCCCAGCTGGGGACAGAGCAGAGTCTGAGGGGAGCAGAAGAAGAAGATGAAAACGTAGCAAGAGGTGAGCAGAGCCCAGTGCAGGGGGAAGGACTCAGGGCAGCAGGGAGCTCCTCCATCCCTGCTTCCCAGGCTGGTAACTGCTGGGGGCAGCAGGTCCACCAGAACCTTCTGCTGCTCCCCCCACAGCCCTGCAGGACTCACCTCTCTGGCCTGTGCAAATTAATGTCCTGACTATCTGTTCTACTCCTGGAGCTGGACTTGCTGGCAGGCTGCAGTTCTGCAAGGAGCAGAGCTGCCCCTGGGATGGCTGGGCAGGGATGAGGACACAGCCAGCCATGGAGATGGCACTGCCAGGCATGGCCATGGCACTGTGGGGACAGTCACAGCACCCCTGCCCACCCCAGGCCCTCCCTTGCCACGTTGCAGCCCCATCTCCTGCACCTCCAGGCTCAGCTGGCTCAGCTGCAGCAGATAAAAGGCCCCACCAACAGGCCCCAGGGGCAATCCTGGGCTCTCCCAGGGATGGTGGGAGCCCCAGCCTGGGAACAGTCTCCGTGGCACCAAAGCCACAGGTGCTGTCTCCAAGAAATACTCAAAACAAATATGTTGTTCCTGTTCCTGCTGCTTTAGGGATTAAAAACCCTTCACAGAGCAAGCCTGCAGCTTCTGTAGGGACAGGGCAGCATGGCCAGGGACACCCCTGGTCTGGTTCCACTGCTCATCCCAACTGGAGAGCCAGAAACCTTTGGAGACCCATGACTTGGCCTTGGCCATGGGGTGAGGGAAGGACCAAGGGACATGCTGCCTTCCAGAAAGGGCCAAAAGGCAGCCCAGCACCTCCAGAGGCCTCTGCACAGCCCCTGGGCAGCCTTTCCTAAGAGTTCCTGTTGAAAATCCCAGCTCAGGAACCCAGGAAGACCCAAGCCACCAGAGAGGGGCCTGCCTGCTGGCCCTGTCTCATGTGGACATCCCTGTGAGCCCGACCAGAGCAGGACTGGAGGCTGGAGGGGGCCCTGAAGGCTGCAGTGCCAGAGCAGTAGTGAACATGGGGGGGTCTGCAGCTCCATCCAGCTCCTGCCCCCATGGATGAGAGCCCAGGGGAGCAGGAGGTCAGGCAGGAGAGCCACACTCAGCTCCTCTCCAGGGCACAGGGAACAGGGTTCAAACCACGGGCAGTGGTACCTGACCCCCTGAGAGCTCCCCAGGGCTCTCCCCAGGCCAGGGAAGCTCCAGCTGGGACTCAGTCTGTCTCCAAACCCCTACCAGGGCACAAAGGCTGCAGACCCTGAGGTCCTTCCCCACTGCCAGTGCTCCCCATGCTCTCCCAGCAAAACCCTTCCCGAGTCCCAGGCACTTGGGAAGAGACATTGCAGAGGAAACATTCCCTCTGGAAGCAGCAGTGGGCTCTGCTGCTCACACTGGGCTCATACTCTTCTCCCTCACTTTTTCCCTCCCTCAGCCCGGGCTCTGTCCCTACCCTGCCACAACGAGTTACTGAGACCTTCTCCAGAGGGAAAAGCTGGGATCCCACTGCCCTGGGCCTCAGTGATTCCATGGATGCCCTGGTTGGAGTTTCTGGCCCCAGCCAGAGCCAGCCAAGCCCTCCCTGCAGCAGAGCCCCTGGTGGGAGATGAAACACAATTGTCAACCACTTCCAGCCCTCCCTTGGCTACCACCAGGTTCTTTGAGGATTTCTCCCCCTCGTTTGCTCCCCTCTAATCCTGTCAGGAAGTCAGGCCTGGTGGCTGGGCCAGACCTTGGAGGTGGGAATGTCAGCCCTCCTGGATGGCACCCCTTGGTGTCACCTCTGCTCCAGCAGAGGGGAATGGTGGCCGGTGGTGCCACGGAGAGGGACACAAGGGGGTGTGCACTGGGGTTTTCTTTCGGATCTCCATCCCTGGCTGAGGGCACAAGGCTCTTCCACAGCCACCCTGCCTGGGGGTCCCCAGGACAGCTGCAGGGGAGCACCCGGCTCCGGCAGAGGGAAGGGCAAGAGACACCCCGTGTCAGAGCTGGCAGCCAAGGCAAGGGTGCCCAGTGTCCCTCAGGGGCAGCTGCTCACCTTGGGGCGCCGGGCGCTGGTCTGGAGGGCAGCGGGAGCAGAGAGGAGAGACATTCAGACAGGACAGACAGGAGCAGAGGGACAGCGGCAGCGGCAGCAGGAGCAGCAGAGCGAGGCCGGGAGACAAAAGACACGAGGGCTGTTAGTGTGGGTGCCAGGGGGGCTGGGGCTCCTCCACCCTGCCCGGACAGCCCCTCCTCACCCTGCCCGTGGGGCCAGGGCCAGCCCGGCCCCCCCAGCGCCCCCAGACCCACGGCAGGGTGGGAGCAGGGAGCCCGGGAAGGTCCACGGCTGGATCCCACAGCTGGATCCCACAGCTGGAGCCAGCGTCAGGGGGTGGAGGAAACTCCTGCTCCAGGACCACAGCCTGGAAACCTCAGGGCTGCCCAGGGCCCCCAGCTGCTGCTGACCCAGGGGGGCTGAACTCACACACCATTCCCGAGGGTCACTCCAGTCGGAGCTCGAGGGGGTTTTTCTACTTCAGAAGTTGTTTTTCTTCCCCCCTCCCCTCACCTCTTTGTTTTCTGCAGGGACCCCAGCACCACCAGACCCACCAGGTGCTGCAGCCCCCGGGCTCTGCTTCTCTCTAGACAAAAATAAATCACCCCGAGGGACAACATGAAGCTGCTTCTCTAACACTTCCATACTTTGCATTTCTGGAAATAAATGAATCCACTGACCTCCAAGGCAGGACCCTGCCCCCCTGCTGGCACGAGTAGCAGGGCCCCCCCATCCCCACTGGTGCTGAGCCCACCCTGCCCAGCCCAGCATGTCCCCACAGTTCATTAAGAGTTTCCCCTGGGAGCAAAGAGCTGGGGCAGAAGTGGGGTAACAACAGGCAGCAGCTGGGCTGGGTGCGGGCAGGGGGGGCTGCTGGCAGGGCCAGCTGCTCCCCAGCTGCAGCCCCAACACTCTGGGGCTCTCTAAAATCCCTTCTGTCACCTGCTGCACAGCTGAGAGCAGCCAAGGGCAGGAGACATCGACCCCAGCGCTGCCACCCGATCCCACCCGGGGCTGCAGCCACCAGAGAGACGTTTCAGAACTGCCACGGTTGGAAAAGACCTCTGAGATCATCACATCCAACCATCCATCCCCCTCCCCCAAAATCAAATCAAATCAAATCATAATTTTTTAAAACCCCAAACACTAAAGCATGTCCTGAAGTGCCTCATCGACACGGCTTTTAAATCCCTCCAGGGCCTCCACCAGCTCCCTGGGCAGCCCATCCCAGGGCCTCATCACTCTTTCAGTAATTATTCCTAATATCCAAACTAAACCTTCCCTGGCACAACTTCAGGTCCTTCCCTTCAATCTTATCTCTATTTACCTGAGAGAAGAGGCCAACACCACCTCCCTGCAACCTGCCCTTCAAGCTGTTCCATCAGCCAGACCCATCTCAGACCATCACACCTGGGCTCTGCTGGTCAGGACCAAAGGCCCTGTCCCCACCCAAGGCCTCAGGAAACCAGCTGAGACACCTTGCAGACCTTACAGAGACCTTGCAGACCTTGCATCTTCTTTGCTCTTTTACATCCAGATGACAACTGGACAGGCTGTCACTGCAAAGTAGCTGATTTCCTACTGTATCACTCAGGCTAAATCCTATTTTGCTCACTCCAGCCTTTTCCCAAACACCAGCAGGCCCACCCCAGTGCTGAGGGAGGACATCCATCTTCCAGATCATCTTCCACTTGGCGAAACTGGCCCGGAGAACATAATGAGCTTAAAACCCTCAGCCAAGCCCAGGGCTGATGAGCAGCAGTGGTGTGAGCCCCTCAGCAGCACTCCAGAACCTTGCACAAGTCCAACTGAAGAAAAACTACATTGAGTGGCACCAAAAATCTGAAACCCCCTCCCTTGGGGACCCTGCAAGTTTCACCCCAGTGAGCAGGGCTCAGCAGCTCCAGTGTTGGGGGAGAGACCCAGCCCAGGGGTGGGGAGGAGCTGAGCATCTTCCCCAACTCCAACCACTCCAAAAACAGGAGAAGCCACTTGGTCACCTTCTCTAAATGCTCCCCACACCCAAGGACAGGGATGAACCCTGGTTTCATGCCTCTCCTGGTGGGAACACTTTGCTCCCCCTCCACGTCATGCCATGTGAAGGCCACAAAAAGCTGAAGCATCAGCTCTGAGACCCCCAGGTGAGGGGCTCCTTGGCAAGGGGGCAGAGTTTGGGGGGGTGAGGGGGCACCCTGGGGGGTGAGGGGGCTCCCCAGCCCCTGGCACACAGGACGCTGCCCTTGACCAGTCACCATCCCAGCCCTGCCGAGCCCAGGGGAGGCAGCAGGACCAGGCTCTCCCGGCTGCAGGAGCTGGGAGCAGACACTCCAGCTTTTGCCAGGCTCCAGAGCACACAGGAGCTTAATGCAAAATCCTGGGCCCTCCTGGATCCCGGGAGGATCACACTGCCCAGCACAGCCATGGATGCTCCACAGGGTGGTTCCCAGCCCTGCGTCCACGTTTGATGCGACAGCACAAGCTGCTCCCTCAGCGGGCCCTGCCTCGGGAGAGCTCCAGGGATCCCAGCAGGCACCCTCGGACACCAACTGCACTTCCAGCAGCAGGAAACCTGCCCAAACTCCCCCTGGCTTCCCCCAGTGGAGCCAGCACCACCCATCTCATTGGTAGGTCCAGTGGGTCCCTCCTTGCTCGTTCCCCTCCAAGTGCAGGATCCTCCACCCAGACCAAGGTGGGATCACTGGTGAGTTTGGATGAGCTGGTGTCACTGTCACCTGGCAGCAGCAGGACGGTCCCTTGTCACCCAACATGTCTCCTGGACACAGCCCGGGGCTGCACGGGTCTCCTGGGCACCTTCCCCAAGGTCTCCAGACGAGGGTGGAGGGGCTGGTTTGCACCCCCTGAGCTGGGGGTGCTGGGTCCCATCCTGCTCCCCGGCAGGGAGCTCAGCATCCCAGAGGGATCATCCCTCCTCCAGACCAAACCTGCTGGCACTGGGGCTGCCCCTGCCCCTGGCAGGAGGGTGAGTCCCTTGGGGTATTTCCTGGGGAGATGTCACCTGCCTTGTGCCAGGCACAGGCCACACGAAATCCTGCATCTTGAACGACCAGCAACACCCGGGCGGACGTGGCAGGTGCCAGGGGAAGCACCCACAGGAAAAGCAGGATTAAACCAGGCAGGGGCCAGGGCTGCAAAGCTCCAGGCCAGCCCGGGTGCTGAGCCCCACCACTCCTCCCTTCTGCTGGGAGCAGAGGAAAAGCAGCATCTGCACAAGCCCTGCTTTGGAAGGGGATTGAACAGGAGCTCCTAAAGGAACCCCCAGTGCTTCCCTGTGAGCCCCAGGAGCTCAGACACCCCTGGGGAGCTGGGGCTGTGGGGTTAACCCAGCAGGGAGCTCAGCATCCCAGAGGGATCATCCCTCCTCCAGACCAAACCTGCTGGCACTGGGGCTGCCCCTGCCCCTGGCAGGAGGGCGAGTCCCTTGGGGTATTTCCTGGGGAGATGTCACCTGCCTTGTGCCAGGCACAGGCCACACGAAATCCTGCATCTTGAACGACCAGCAACACCCGGGCGGACGTGGCAGGTGCCAGGGGAAGCACCCACAGGAAAAGCAGGATTAAACCAGGCAGGGGCCAGGGCTGCAAAGCTCCAGGCCAGCCCGGGTGCTGAGCCCCACCACTCCTCCCTTCTGCTGGGAGCAGAGGAAAAGCAGCATCTGCACAAGCCCTGCTTTGGAAGGGGATTGAACAGGAGCTCCTAAAGGAACCCCCAGTGCTTCCCTGTGAGCCCCAGGAGCTCAGACACCCCTGGGGAGCTGGGGCTGTGGGGTTAACCCACAGCAGGGGCTCCTGGCTGACACAGCACGGCCAGGGGAGATGCACCTTGGTGCCTTTGGACAGTCTTATTTTCATTTCTTTGAGATCAGGTAAAAATCGCCAGGATTTCCCTTTAAGCTGAGCGGTGACATCCTGGTTATGCTAAAAATAACCACCCAGGACAGTGCCCGGGCCCAAACCCGAGCTGGGGCTGCAGGGACGGCAGCCTGACAGGGAATCCAGATCCCAGCACCCCTGGGAAGGGCAGGGCAGGCTGGGGGGGTGGCAGCTCCCCCGGCAGGAACGGCTCCAG